TGATAATGATGATGATGACGATGACGATGACGATGACGATGATGACGATGGTGACGATGACGATGACGATGATGATGACGATGATGATGACGATGGTGATGATGCTGATGATGATGATGATGATGATGATGGTGATGCTGATGATGATGGTGATGGTGATGCTGATGTTGATGATGATGATGACGATGATGCCGATGATGGTGATGCTGATGATGATGGTGATGATGATGACGATGACGATGATGCTGATGATGACGATGATGATGACGATGACGATGATGATGCTGATGATGACGATGTCGATGACGATGACGATGACGATGATGATGATGACGACGATGACGATGACGATTACGATGATGATGGTGATGATGATGATGATGATGATCATGATGACGATGATGATGATGATGATGATGAATATGATGAGCGATGATCATGATGACGATGATGATGATGATGATGATGATGGTGGTGGTGGTGGTGGTGGTGATGATGATGATGATGCTGATGATGCTGATGCTGATGCTGATGCTGATGCTGATGCTGATGATGATGATGGTGATGATGATGATGATGATGATGATGATGATGTTGTTGTTGTTGATTATGATGATGATGACGATGGCGATGACGATGGCGATGACGATGATGACGATGATGATGATGATGATGATGATGATGATGATGATGATGATGATGATGATGATGATGATGATGATGATGAATTGCGATTCTAACTATTTATCATACCTCTGTTGTTATTATGGGACTGTCTTGGGGAGTTCTTTGGAGTCTTCGGACTCCTCTTGGAGCTTGCCCAGCCCTTACTTTGGGTCGTCTTGTGCGATCGTGGATCCATAGAACCAAACGGCGAGAAATCAGAAATCAGAGGACAACCTCCGGTTTTTTAGCCTCTTGGGATTGCCTTGGACCATCTTGGGCCACCTCAGGGCTATATTTGGGCCTGCCACCTGGTGATCCCTGTTCCTGGGCCGCACTTGGGGCTCTTTTAGAGCTCTCTTGGGGCGATCCTGGGGCTGTCTGAGGGGTCCTGAGGGTCGCGCCCGGGAGAGACACCATATCGGGCCCCAGTTTCCCACGACCTTGCCTGGGTATTTTCGTCTGGGGTTGCCTGGTATTTTCGTCTGGGGATCCACAGGGGGCCGCCGCCCCCCCCCGCGCGCGCAAACCAGTAATGTCAACACACTCCGAGCCTGTTACCGGAGGTCTTGGCACGCCTTTGGCCGTTTGACTGACGGAGTTGGGCTCCCTAGACAACTGCGAGGCCATCACGTTGCGGGGTAGCGCCGTGAGTAGTTGATGTGAGCTTTTCTGGGGTTGGACACAGAAAGACGTACATCCGACGCTGGGCCCTGGATGGGTCCGGCCAGGATCGGCGGGCGCGCAGTCGTCGTTGTCGTTGTCGTCGTCGTCCTCCTCCTCCGCCTCCTCCTCGAACTTCGAGCTGCGAGGTTCGCGGAACGAGACTCGAGGATTCAGGGGGAGGCTCGAGGTTCGAGCATACGGGGCAGACGCCGTTTTTCGGGATCCCTCCGGCCCTCGGGAGCCCTGGAGGCAAGAGGCGCCTGCCCTGGCGGGCCCGGCGGCGCCAGCAGTGGGGCCTCTCGTGCGCCGCTGGACCTCCTCGTCCGGCTCCCCAGCGGGGAGTCGAGAGTCGAGAGCTTCGGGCTTTCCGAGGGGGAACGAAGAGTGAATTTCTCGGATCCGCGCTGGGACCCCCCCTGGCGGCACGTCGTGCGCTGCTGGGTCTCCTCGTCCGGCTGCCCAGCGGGGAGGGAGAGCCTCGATCTCTTTTCCCCGCCACCTTTCGGCGGCGGGCAAGGGGGGAAGTGAGAAGGTGAAGCCCTTCTCAGATGGCGGCGGGGCTTCTCACAAGCCCTTGAGAAGTTTTCTGTGTCTTCAGGGAACGCTTACGAGCCTTCTGAGAAGGCCCGTACCTTCGCGCTTTCCCCCCGCGCTCGCTCTCAAACCTTTCAATGGAGCGATGGAAAAAACGGGGTCGAGTACGCGGACATTCGAGCGCAAGCTTCCCGCGAGAGGACGCGTAATCGTTCTCCACGCGGTGTGCCGCGCCAGGGGCCCGCGTAAGCCGCCGCGTAAGGTCGCTCTGTCTTCTCGCGTACGACCCGCGTTTTTTTCGTCGGTCAATCGCTGGCAGGCCCCGCGAGAAGTTTGAAACCGAGATCACGTCTCCCCGCGCTTGTTGGTAGTACCACAGCAGCTCGGCACGCGGCGCAGCACTGCCAGCACGAGCACCCTGTGCGGAGGCCATGGCCAGAATTGTGCGGCTCAAGTCGCAGTCTCCCTCGCATGTCCATGCAGAGAGCGGAGCTTTTTTTTGCCTTCTTCCCTGAGAGCTGCTTGCCCTTACGGGGTCTGCCCGGTTTGTGCACGGGAGCTGTGCCCGCGTGGCGGTCTTGCATCTCCGTGGTCGCCGCCTCCGCCCCGTCGCCGCCCCGTCGCCGCCTCGTCGTCTTGGCATGCGTGGCGGTCTGGCGGCTTCGTCCGTGGTCGCCGTCGCCGCGTCGCCGGCCCGTGGCACGCCCCGTTGCGATCGCATCGCGCCGCATCGCTTGGCATCGCTTCTCATTGCCTTGCCTTGCTTCGCATTGCTTTGCATTGCTTTGCATTGCTCCGTGTATCGCATTGCTCTGCCTTGCTGCGCACTGCTGCGCGTTGCTTTACATTGCCTCTCTTTGCTCTGTATCTCTTTGCGCCGCGTAGACGACACCACATGGGCTGCACCGCCTAGATTGCACCATACTGTTTGCACCGCCTAGACCGCACCACATCGATTGCAAGAAGCCACTGCTTGGGGTCCACGCTGGCTAACACCTGGGTTTCCCTCGTAGACCCCATCACGCGCACCCTCCTCTTCAGCACCACACTATACGCCAGTCGTGCAAAGTAGGGGTTCTTGCACTGCCAGATCCCAATCTACTTTGGGCGCCTTCCTACTTCAATGATCGAGTGGTTTTCCTTCTTCCCTCCTCTTCAGGGGGCGGGCGGAAGCCCAATCTACTTTTGCCGTCTTCCTACTTCATGCTCCTACCTACTTCTTCCGACCCCGACCGATGGGTAATCATCGCACCGCTCTCAGCATCAACCTCATCATCGCCCTCCTCGTCAGCATCGCTGCCCGCCGTCTTCGTCTTCACTCTCGTGTTTCATCTTCAGCGCCCCCGTCTCAAACACTGTCGTCGTCTTCATCGTCATCACTCCCATCGCTGTCCCACCTCATCCTGCAGAGTTCCAGAGAGTTCTGGGTGATTCTCCTCCTCCTCCTCATCCCTAGGGGCGGAGAGGGGGTGGCATGGGGAGGGGGAGGGGAGAGGGGCAAGCAGTGAAGGAGGGAGAGGCACGTGGATGGGGGAGGTGCAGGGACAGGGGCAGTGATGGTCGGCCACGCGCAGAGGGGGGTAGGGGGAAGTGGAAGGCTTCTTAGAAGCACCCCTACTTCTTGGAAGGCGCGGGCCTTGTCTGTAGAGGTAGGGCCGGCGCCTTCTCAGAAGCAGCCTCCTTCTAAGAAGCCTTCCCCCCTCCCCCCTACCCCCTTGTGCGCGCCGCCAGGATGGGTAGCGACGAGTGGAGGGTGAGTGTGAGAATCTAGGGGGCCCACTGGGAAGCCACCACGGAAGCCACCACTGCGTCAATCCCATCACTGCGCCTCGCCGCCCAGCCCGAGGAGCAGGAGCACGAAGCCGGAGCCAACATTCGCAGATTGGGGCCGTGCCAGGCGTGACGTACAGCCCGAAGGAGCCGACACTCAGGAGGAAAAGAAACACACAGACACAGTTAATCGTCGATTCCCCAGAAAATATAGGAAAATATGGGAAGTGGGGGGGAAGACAAGAACCCCCCCAAAACATAGGACAATACGGAGGATCTTTTTAGGTGTGTGCATTAGTTTGTGTGTCCTGGGGCCCCTTTCGTACAGCCCGAGGGAGCCGACGCGTAGGTGCCAGCCGGGGACGCGGCGGAGGGTCGGGCAGACCCACACGATGCGCACAGCATCGGGCCGGAGAGTCCCCGGGAGCACTCTCGGAGCGTCCCGTGGAGGGCCCTGGGACGGCCGCGGGATGCATCCTCCAGTCCGGGGGGGAAGAAACACACAGACACAACTCATCGTCGATCCACCAGGAAAACATGGGAAGATATGGGAAGTGGGGGGGGAGACAGAAGCCCAGAAAATATTCGAAAATATGGGGAGTCCTTTTATTTGTGTGTATTTATTTGTGTGTCCTGGGGCCCCTTGAATCCTCCAGATCCGCCAGCTCTCTGAAATCCTGGCTTCATCCGTACGGTCGGACCGAGGTGTCAGGTCGAGGTCGGTTCGGGGAGGGTACCCTAGTGCTCTTCGTGTCCGTTGGGGTGCTCTCGTGCATCCTGGGGTGGGTACCCTTGGACGCTCGGTGTGCTTTGGGCGGCGGAGGGCCTCGTGTTCTTGAAGGGCGTTCTTCTGCCCCAGGTCCGACGGTGCCCGCTTTTGCTGGTGCCCCGAGCGGCAGGGCTCGAGGTTGCGCGCCGACAGCCCTTTTGGAGGTGGTCCAGGCCGGCCTCGGCGGGCCCGCAAGGTGCTCCGTGCGCCGCGAGGCGGCGACTGAGTGCTGAGATAGCCCCAGGCTATCTTTCGGGGCCGCCGACCGAAAGGGGGGGAGGCGTGCACCCTGATCGCAAGCAAACTCGTCGCCGATCGGGGCGCGGGTGCCCCGCTCTGCCAAGGAGCGTGCGGTGTCTCGGTATCGGGGGCCTGTCGCCGACCTGTTGTCGATGTCGATGCGTTGCCGATCTTCCCTGGGCGATGCTTTCTCCCCTGCGTCGGTCCTCCCCCTCTCCGCTCCCCTCAAGCCTGCGGGCCTGTCGAGGCCAGCCTGGACCACCCACCAGGGCTGCCTGTGCGCAGCCCCAAGCCCTGCCGGTGCTGCCCTCGTCCTGGAGGAGGGCGCAGATCGGGAGGCGCTCGCGCGGGCCGCCAGGTGGCGCTGTTCTGGCGCTGCGCGGCAGCGCTCTGCGCGATGCCGTTGGCGCAGCTCGCGGCGATGACGCGGCGGAAGAGGCCTCCCCCCCCCCTCCTTCCGCCTCCTCTCTCCTCCATCCCCCCTCCTCCATCCCCCCTCCTCCTCCTCCTCCCCTCCTATCTCGCGGCGCCATCCCGAGACCCAGGAGGAGGAGGAGGAGGAGGAGGAGGAGGAGGAGGAGGAGGAGGAGGAGGAGGAGGAGGAGGAGGAGGGAGGAGGAGGAGGAGGAGGAGGAAGAGGAGGAGGAGGAGGAGGAGGACGAGGAGGAGGAGGAGGAGGAGGAGGAGCAGGAGCAGGAGCAGGAGGAGGAGGAGGAGGAGGAGGAGCGGCTGGGCCGCTCATGGGATGTAGAAGCAGATGCCGAAGGGGCGTACCTTCTGCGTAACGTTGTACACGGCGTAAGTTGTCCGTAGCGCTGTATACGCAATAAGTCATAGGCATTATCGAAGTAACAACGCATGAGCTGGTAATACTGCGTAGTACTTTCCAGTATTCTAGTAATCGTCCTCCTGGGTACTGCCACGCGCACGCTCGGCGTGTCCGTATTGGATTGTCTGCAGGGTGCGCTTGTGGTGAGTACCCGTTGGGGATGGGAGGCCGTTGTTCTTGTATCAGTGCTGTGTAATAGGGTTGCCCTGGCAGTCCAGCACGTCCACGAAGTACTTAGTGCCACCTGTAATAGCAGGCTGGTAATGTAGTTACACTTCGTTTGCCTCGTCGTACTCGTTGTAGTTCATGTAGTAGACTTTCATATGGGTGGCTTGGTCTGCTTGCAAGTCTTACTGTTGGCCATACAACTTAGCAGTGATCGCGTTCTTGAACCCGCTGAAAGTAGGAGGGCCCATGTAAATCGTGAGCATGACGTAGTCATCCCTCTCAGGGTCCCAGGGTATATAGCAGTGGAACCGCACTCCAGCGTTGTATGGATGGCTCTCCCGCAGGATGTAGTTCTGGTAGCATCCAGTAGCTATTTCACAGGGGCTGTCGGAGATCTTGCCCATACTGTTGTCATTTGGGTCGGTCACCGACAGTAACCTCACACGTGCCTTCAATGCATATGGCCTAGTTCACGTCGACATGCTTGTAGTAGAGATCCTTGAAGTGGTGACGCAGTGACGATTCGACATCGCTGATCTTGAAGTACTGTCTGTCGTCATCTCCATGGGTAGCCGTTGTCACAAGCTGTAGCCATATGTTCTGGAATGGTGAATCGCGTACTTAGATGCCAGCTTTGGCTAGCACATGTTTTCCCTGACTGTCGTCGATGCGATGGTAGTTCGCACTGGAGATGTTGTATGTAATCAGTATGTACCTGAGCTGTAAGTGAGCCGATACTTTCAATGAAGGACCAATGATCGTTTGGACTTTCTGATGTACGATCTTGGTACAGAAGTAAACATGAGGGAGCAGTGCACGTAGACGTGTGTGTGTGTGTGGGGAATCCAGAATTCGGTGACGCTGTAGGCAAGCACGCGGTTGTCCTGTGGTGTCCGAGTACGCGTGCAGGTCGTACTCCGAATACCTCCTAACGCCTTGCTTGGTAGTGATGGATGATGTGGGGAGGGGAGCGGAGGAATAATGAGGATGTAATTTTGGCTCTAGTAGTCGAGCAAGAGAAGTCGTAGCCCTCGCTGTTCTCAGTGGAGTCACCTAGGACGGCTTGTAGCGCTTGTCCTGGTGGATGGCGTTCACGTCGTCCTCGGTGTTCTTCTTGTACCCGTCCTCCTCTTACTGGTTTTTGTACTCGCTTTTGGGGTACACGGATACCTCGTCGTACTAGTTCAAGCTGCCGTGCATGATATTGTTGACTTCCAGCCGTGGGGGTCGTCCACGAGGTGCTCCTCCACGGTCGTGTTCATGAAATCTACCCGCTTCAAGGCCGTGTCGTAGATCTTGACGTCTTTCCACTAGCCCTCTTTGATGTACTCGCCGTAGCCGTCGCGTATGCGAACGTAGTGCTGCACCTCGTGCACTTCGTTGATCTTGTAGGGAGTGTAGTGGAGATTGGCCATCGTGGGTACCATGTCGCTCTGCGCGTAGTAGTTGTACACCACGCTCTGTTCCAGGAACTTGATCTCGTAGTCGTACTTCTCTTGGAAGAGCTCGGCCTGCATGTTGTCCTTGAGCAGGGCCTCGTTCAGCTTGTCGGACGTGGGCACCGTGGTGTGCAGGATCTCGCCAGTGGGCTCGTAGTAGAACTTCGCGTTCGCCTGGTGCGGGTAGTCCGCTATGGCCCTGTAGGCGTATCACTGGTGGGGGACGAAGAAGTTCGGGTTGAGTGGAGCCACGTCGTTGTTCTCGTTGTCGTGCATCGATCCAGGGAGGCGGTCGATGCAGTACGTACTCTCCACGCAGTCTTCAGAGGCCTTGTAGTGTCAACAACTTGTGCTGGTGACGCTTTATACAGTGCTTCACTACCCCAGCGATGTCAAGTATATGTGCTCTTTATTTTCGTAGTCGTCGTACTTCAGCGTGTGTACCTTGACGAGCACCCGGGGCCACTTGTTGTCGACCTGCGGAGTGGTAGAAGTTGGCGCTATGGTGTGGGCGTCGTAGATGCCCACCTCCGGTAACAAGGACTCCTTATTCGTGCCCTTGTCCCTTTCGGACGCGTAGTATTTCATCCTCACAGCCATCGCGAGGAGGTAGGGCCTGAAGCGGTAGGCGACTTGGTAGTATTGGTGCCTGAACGGTAGGCCAGCCAGAATAGCAGCTATGGAGCATGCGTCTGCATTCGTGCGTACCAGCAGTACTACGCAGACGTGTCCCGCAGTCCCCTCGGTAATGCAGTAAGTGCAGATGTGTAGTAGTAGTAGTAGTAGTAGTAGTAGTAGTAGTAGTAGTAGTAGTAGTAGTAGTAGTAGTAGTAGTAGTAGTAGTAGTAGTAGTAGTAGTAGCAGTAGTAGTAGTAGTAGTAGTAGTAGTAGTAGTAGTAGTAGTAGTAGCAGTAGCAGTAGCAGTAGCAGTAGCAGTAGCAGTAGCAGTAGCAGTAGCAGTAGCAGTAGCAGTAGCAGTAGCAGTAGCAGTAGCAGTAGCAGTAGCAGTAGCAGTAGCAGTAGCAGTAGCAGTAGCAGTAGCAGTAGCAGTAGCAGTAGCAGTAGCAGTAACAGTAGCAGTAGCAGTAGCAGTAGCAGTAGCAGTAGCAGTAGCAGTAGCAGTAGTAGTAGTAGTAGTAGTAGTAGTAGTAGCAGTAATAGTAGCAGGCGGTCAGGGCAGGTGGCGATATTGATGATATGGGTTGTCTCGTACTTGTCTCTACTCGCTGTAAGTTACAGTAGGCCTCTGGCTCACGTCATGCCGGTGCTTGGTAGTCCTTTGTTGGTGTAGCGTGTATGGTGTCTACCTGGCAGTGTGAATCGTCTCAGCGATCTCGGTCGGGGTGTCGGACTCTTCCTTGATGTCTTGTATACCAGTGGTGACATATCGATAGCATGTAGTTCTACTGAACGGCCTGCAATCTCAGGTTGCATTTCACGTTGTACATGCCGCCTGAGATATCATCGATCGAGCTTTTTGTATACTTAGTCTAAGGTTACTCCAGGTTGTAGTAGTGTACGTCCAAGTATTTTTTAGAGGCTGCTAATGAAGTCGCAGAACTTGGGCGGGTATTTCTTGAGTGGTTCTGTATTGAAGTTACCTGCACGGTTGACGTCCAGGGGGCAATGTGTCTTTCACGGTGGTTACGGCGTCCCTGATTGTCCATTCGCGTGATGATAGTAGATGGAGATGCCGTAGGTTGGTTTACGCATAGTAGCGTTGTGGTTTTCTGCTGCAGCAGTCGAACATGCACTGGGCGAAGCTGATCGTGTTGCACTCATTGCATGTAAGTGAGGCTCCTGCCTCCAGGAGTCTCCATGTTGAAGCACATCTCGCCCGCCAGATTGGGGCGGATGGGTTTTCCAGTGTCGCTGGTATACGTAGCAGCCGTACTTCGAGTAAGAACTCTGAGGTGACTCGTAGGACCCCGTTCCCTACTCGTATCTGTGCTCTTTTCCTTCCGTTGAGCGATTTCTATCCCCAGGGCTCGTCTATGTTGCGTAATGGTCGAGGTCCGCCGTTTTGTCGCTGCTGTAGGTTCTTCCAGCGTGCACCACTTCATGTGTCACAGGGCGGCCCAGCGTGTATACCAGCTACCAATCCAGCACGCATAACTGGCATCCAGTTCGCCAGTGGGGTCATTAGCAAGGTCGAGACTTATGACTTTCACGGGTAAGCTGGAGTCAATTTCGACAGGTTGTCGATCTTGGTTTGTTTCCTTGACTTTCGCCTCATAATAGCCTTATCTTCGTAGTGCAGCGGCGTATTCGTTCATGTGTTAGTCGGTCAATGTATTATCTGATGAGGAAATTCACACTTTCGATTCTTACGAGTCAGGTGTATGAGTAGTCGAGGTCTGGTATGGTAGTTCATGCCACACGCTCTGCACGGTCCATCCTGCACATAGTTGCTTACCTGGTCCGAATCTGGGTTGTCCTCTATCCTATGTATTGCCATTGCCCAGGCTCCCTCTGCGGATATTGTGGACATGCGTGCTTGAGCTCTTGTGGTAGGGAGTGGGATATGCTCAGGTGGCGGTTCTACTCCCAGGAGTCAGAGTCACTGGTAGTACATTTTGCGCAATGCGCAACAGGAGCTGCAAAGGTCAAAATGACCACTCCCGGCGGTTGGCTCAGCCATCCGCCGCAGGGCGATTTTGTGCGTGGCAGTACTCGGGAGCACTGCCAGGGAGGCCAGACACCCCTCACAAGCCTTCCCTTGCTCGCGGAGCTCAAGTCCGCGAGGTGTGCCGATCAGGATGCACCCAATGGCAGCCTTCCCAGTAGGAGTCGTGACCGCACCCCCCGATGCGGCGAGGACTGTGAAGTCAGGGCACTAGGCCTACACTCCCTGGGTCGGCTGCCACGGACCGCCGTCACGGCACTCCTGCGTCTGCTGGAGGCCCCCTCTACCTCCTTGGCCTTGATGCCCTCCGCCGCCTCTGGGGAAAGACGGCCGTCGACAGATACTGCCAGCATCAAGTTACCCCTGGCCGCCACGAGGAGGCTTGCAGTCCGACTTTTCGGCCAGGATCTTGTGCTTCACACGTTCCTCTCTTTCCCTCCTCCTCCTTCTCCTCTCCTTCCTTCTCTCTCCTCCTGTCTCCTCCTCCTCCTCCTCCTCCTGTCTCCTTCTCTCCCCTCCTCCTGTCTCTGCCTCTTCCTCCTCCTCCTGCCCCCACGCTCCCCCGTCCTTCCTCCTTGCCGTTTCTTGGGCAGCGCCCGGTGCGCTTCGCCGAGGGCGCAGCACCCCCGCGCGCCCCGGGCTCCAGACGCCCCGCACCAGCCCTCTCTGATGCGCGGTGCCTCTCGCTCGTGTCTTTCCCGTCGCCCGTGATGGAGGACCCGCCAGGCCACTCACAAGGACTGAGCACACTGCACGAGACAAGCGACTGTCGATGCCGTTTTTCGGTCTTTTGCGTCTCCTCCCCCCTCTCGCCTCCTCGTGAGACTCGTGAGCCGTGCCGTCTCGCTGTTCGACCGCGCCGTTGGCGGTGGAGCGTACCTCATCAACATTTTTTGGTTTCTCTCTTTCTCTCGCTTTCTCTCTCTCTCTCTCTTTCCGTGATGGAGGGTCAGGATTCGTTCTCGGACGCTTCACATGGGGATGGGCGTTGATTCGGATTTTCGGATTTCTGCCAAAGGTCCCCCTCGGTCATCGCCTGGAGCCCGGGCGTCCAACGCCGCCGCAGGAAACCTGCGTGGACCTCCGAAAGTCTGTGCGTGCTGTGTGTCCTCCGTGGTCTTCCAGGCCCTCCGCGATCGCTGGTGCCATGGCCGGGGATGCGGAGAGCAGGGACCTGTTCGGCCCCCTGGTCGGCATGTGCCACCCCAGCGCAGGGCTCATTTCGACTCCTCCGATTCGCTTCGATTCGATTCGATTCGATTCGACTTCGACGGCTTCCGATTCCGGCTCGATTCGAGTTCTGGTTCCGATGTGGGCTCAGATTTTTCGATTGAGGCCTACTAGCCTGCCGAAATTTCGGCCGATTCGACTTCCCGACCCGCCCGCCGATTTCCGCCGATCCGATTGATTTCGATGGCCGATCCGACTTATCGATTCGATTCTGGGGACGCCAGCCAGCGCCGCCGCCGCGTGCCACGACCAGCGAGATCTGACAGGGGCAGCGGCGCCTGTGTGGCGCGCGTGGGCGGGCTGTTGCCGCGCTTGGTGCTGTCCTTGGCCATCTGAGAGTCCAGGACGCGCCTCCTTCTCCTCCTCCTCCTCCTCCACCTCCTCCTCCTCCTCCTCCTGCTTCTCCTCCTCCTCCTCCTCCTCCTGCTCCTCCTCCTCCTCCTGCTCCTCCTCCTGCTCCCTCCTCCTCCTCCTCCTCCTCCTCCTCCTCCTCCTCCTTCCTCTCCCCCCCTCCTCCCTCCTCCCTCCAGCTTTGGCTCGGAGCCCCGCGGAGGCAGGATCGATCGGCAGCCTCGAAGCCTGTCCCCCCCCAGGGAGCAACCAGACGCTGAACTTTTCATCTTGCGTGCGGCAGGGTGCGCGGGGGGGGTTGGAGACCCCCCACCGACGGGGGGTCGACCCCGCGACGTCGGCGCACCGCTCCGTGTGTTGGGAACCCCTCCTCGCGCGGTGGCTGCCCTCGACGCGGGTGAACTTGTGGCTGTCGGCGGGGGTGGCGTCCCCCAGCGCTCGTGGAGGAACTCGGCTTCCCTCCTTCGCCCTCCGCTGCGGAACCATGAGACAGCCACCCCGATGCTTCAGCCCTCCCAATCTCTGGGGCGGAGTCCC